ATATATATATATATATATATATATATATATATGAAAGCAACTCATTTTCGCTTACACAATTTTTAAAACATTTTTACCCTTTATTTATTATGATAATTGCACACTTATTTCTTTTAGTATAAGATAACTTAGTAATTTTACTTTATTAATTTAAATAAAAATGACTATTTACAAAAAATAAACTATATACTCCATTTGTAACTTCCCCACCCTAAAACATTAATGTAAATGAAGGGTCTTTTTTCACTAGTTTATACTATATTATTATATATAAAGATGATTTTTTTTGTTTTTTTGTTTTTGACATATATACCTATTTATTATATATTTTTCCCAACAACATATCTTTTAAGGATAAAATAGGAAAAAAATATGTATAAAAAAATTAACCGTTCACTCTATCAATAATAACTTATTAATCTATATTCAATTATAATATTTTTTATTTTTATCCCTATTTATCATTTTAACCGCATATTCTCTTTTCTAATAATCACTATTAATTAATTATCATGTACCACTAAATAAAATCACCACCATTATCTTTTTAATAACACGTTATTTTTACTTTTTAATAAATATATAGACACACATACTTTATCTCTCTTATACTAATTGTATAATTTTATTTTGGTCTCTAATTTCATTCACTATTATCTAACATCTATATTTTTTTCCATTTTTTATTTTGTTTGTATTTTAATTTTTTATTATTTTATTTTTATCCATATCTATATTATGTATATTTTATATCTATATCTACATCTATAATTCTACATACATAAACTATATATAAATCTATATCTCTAATCTATAACAATAGATAAAAAGAATACATTATATTTACTTTTTAACAGTTGTAAGTCTCCTTTTATTTATCAATACTCTTCTTTATCATTTCTACATTCTGTTCTTTAATAATTGCAACTATTATTTAATAAAAATATTGGTAACATGTAAACCACACAAAGTTAAACGAGTTTATTCTCTTTCTATTGTAAGTATGTGTACTGGCCAGTCGAGTTGCCGACTTGTCCTCACCAATCTGCTGACTCGGTCAAAGGTTTACTAGCCTAACCAAGCAGTAAACTCATTATTGCCGAGCTCTTTAGCTCGGCCATGACACATGGCATCATGATAGGAAGGCATACGCGAAAAGTCACTGTTCCCTGACGAGCTCGATCTTAACTCCTTGACCTACGGTCTTCGGAGCTCAGGGGGCTAGTGTACTATCCGTACTGCGAAGCCGAGCTCCCAGCTCGGTATCACAGCGCAAGACGACCTCGGACACGCGCTATGTGACGTCAGCTCGTCACCCAAATAGCTCATAACTGATCTCGGGCCCAAGACCCAATAAAACCCTAATTCATACTAAGGTACGTGCATTATTTATACTAGACTAATACTCCCACAAACACTAACTTTAGCATCGGAGTCTCTTTTGCAGGTACCACCCCCATATTGGAGCATCAAGCGTACCAGTGAAGGAGGCTCACCGATCTTACCTGGCGGATCAGCTCTACAGCAGATTTCCGGTAAGAACAGTATGTATTGCAATATGCATATTAAACTGAGTCTATTTTCTTATTATTATATTTTTACATTTTAGTTTTATTTAAATAAAATATATAACTTCACTAGCATTTATATAGAGGATATTTTTCTTTGTTGTTTTTTTTAGTTATACATTTTTAGACATTTATATTAATTTATTATATATTAATTTTTTTTCCATCAACATATCTTTTAAGGGTAAAATAGAAAAAAGAAATATGTATACAAAAAATTAATTGTCATCTACTTTATCAATAATAACTATCATCTTATCTTATAATCACTCTACATTTTTGTTTAAGATTATTTTACTTTTTTCTACTTATACATTATCTCACTTTACCTACATGTTATAACTTTTATTATTTCTAAATTTTATTTTATATTATTTTTAAACAAAATACATTAAGATACAAAGTGTTTCGATCCCACTAATGTATGTGTACATATGTGTATATATATTAACTATATTTATATCATTATATAAAGAGAATATACTCTTCAGTAACTGCTTTGATCTCCATTTTTATTTGAACCATTTTGCCATTTTTATTTTATTTAGAAATCTTAACA